ATAAGACTTAAAGGAGCATATGTTCAATAGGTACAAGCTTTAGTTGAGGTGTTTAAGAGAATTATGCGGAAAACTTTACGGGATCATAGATGACTTAAGCTTTTCTCTTAAGTAGTCATGATTCAAGTCTGAGACCATTAATTACAAATTATGGAGTAAAGGTTATTATTTTACTAAGTAAATTAAAATTCGATGCAAAGAACACCTTCATTATGTATAATAATCTCCCTTCACTAAATTGATCATTTCTACCAATAATCCTACTAATAATCCTAGGACCTAATAATTAGTCATTTCTATTTCTCCACTCCTTAATAACGCATAGCTCTTTGAGTTTATAAATATCATTGTGACCTAAATAAATACGCAAAAAAAAACTAATTTCTTAGGGTATATATACAGAAGTAGTGTTTTTCCAACAGTTGTATATTGCAAAAGACATAATTTTTAAATACCCAAAATGCCCTGACTAACAGTTCTATCAGTCCGTTTATTTTGATGATATCCGTTAGTCATAAAATAAAAAATAATAATATGCATTGCTTAATTGAACAAAATAGGTCAAAAGTGCTTAGTCGAATATCACGGAAATTAAAATTAAAATAACGCGATAACTCGGGGACGAAAAATGTTATTCTCCCTCTTATATATTATTGAATACACTTGTTTGATATAGCTACTTTATTCTAACAAAAAGTTACTACTAGTCATTAGAATTTGTTATGAACATCGACTCTATTCTAGTTCTAGTATTAACACAAAAAATAAAGGAAAAAGGTCATCATATATTCCTCAACTTTGCAATTTAGCACTGATATACGCCTCGTTATAAAAGTGATTAATACATACTTTTAGCAATATAAAAGTGGCTCATACATATCCTTACCATTACAAAAATTGCTCATTTATATTTTTTCATCTAATGAAAGTATGAAAACATTAATTTTAATTTATTTATTTTGATTTCTTAGTTTTTAAAAAATCCAGGATTTATATGTGATACTTCTAGCAAAGTTAAAGATATATTTAATATTTCTCAAACATGATTTCTTTTTTTTTACTTCTTTGATTCTACGACTATTTTGAACTGTCTGTTTTTTTATAATAGTAATTCCATTTCTCTTGCTACAGTAAAAGCTAGACAAAAAATTCTAGCAAAGTTAAAGATATATATTTATCTATTTTTCTTTCGACGAAGGAGGCAGTAAGTTTGTTGGCCCCATTATATTGTTGGCCAAGTCACTACAACAAAGTAGAAATACAACGATACTTATAAATTAATTAAATACAAACTATTTAATGTGAAGTTTATTTTTGAAAAGGTAAAAAAATAAAACAATATTTTACGAGGGCTTCATGTCGATAAGACTCAAAACTATTTGAATTAACAAAACATCAATAGTCAGTGTTATTGATTGTACTGTGTTAAATTAACTATGTTCATTCGCATAAAACATAAATATGTCATTTAACTTGACCTCATTTCATATTCATACCTTTCAATTTTGAATGTGCAAAAGTAATTATTTAAACCTGTATAAAATTAAACAAATAGACAAATACATCCTACGTGGCATCCTATATGACAATTTGTGTCTTACATGTATTATGTCACATAGAACTTATATGTCTACTTGTTCAGCTTTATACATATTTAAGTGCCTACTTATGCACACCACACTACTAAAATATTGTTAAAAAATGATGGCCAAAAGCGACAGACTGCGTCGCTTTTTTGGTCAAAATCGACGAAAAAGCGATGCAGTCACCTCCGTCGCTTTTTAGCCCGACGTTTTTCAAAAAGCGACGGTCTGCGTCGATAAAAAGCGACGGACAACGCCGCTTTTCAAAAAGCTACGGATTGCGTCGCTAAAAATCGACGGACAGTGTCGCTTTTTTACTTCTTTTTTTTATTTAAATTTTTTAAACAAAAGCGACGGACTCTGTCGCTTTATTTTAATTTTAATTTTTTTTTATTTCTAAAAGGCGACGCAGTCCGTTGCTTTTCTGGAAATTTTATTTTTTGAAAAGCGACGGACAAAACCACGCTGTCCGTCGCTTTTCTAGGATTTAAAAAAAATAAAACCCAGAAAAGCGACGGATAAAATCACTTTGTCCATCGCTTTTCCTGCAATATTTTTGACAGCAGAAACTGGCAGTTTATGTTGCCCACCTGTAAATGCAATTCAATTCAATTCTACACTATTCAGCCCAATCAATCACACACAATTATAAACAATCTAAACAAAATATAAAACAACAAACTTAAAATAACATTAAAAAGTATCTAAATCACAAATTAAAGACTTATAAAGTCTTTCAAAATTACAAAAAGTTCATAAATGTCTAGAGATCTAAACTAGGGAGTGGGTTCTACATAATCATCCTCATCACTCTCGTCGTCGGTGTCATCGGGAGCCGAAGTAGTAGGTCAACGAGCGAGGTTCATCACTTGTTCTTTGATTTGCTTAACGGTCTCACTCATGCTTTCTTGTTCAGCTACTCTTCTCCGCTCCGACTCTGACAGTGCCGCTATAAGCTTAGCTATTTGAGTTGACATAGCAGCAATCTGAACACTGTCAAGTGCCTCGGCTTGACGTGACGATCCAATTCCTTCTAAGCCTGACTGGAGTCGTCTTACATCGTTTCGAGAGCCTAGACCCTAGACTCTACCCTTGTGTGTTCCCCCTACCACTTTTTCTTTCCAAATCTGGGTGGAAAGTTCAGGTATCAATTGGTCCGAACTATCTAGATTTTCAGTGACGTACTGATGAAAGTCATTTTGCATATTAAATATAAAAATTGACATCAATATATATACATGTAATAAATATATTCACTATTAATATATTTTATTCATATTAAATAACTTACAAAAGTTCATTCGGCCCTTTCCTCCATCCACACATCCGGATCCGACTCATTTTCTTTCTTCATGACATGAGTCTTCTTGAAAACCTCCGGTTCAATGGGAGTGCGTCCCAATTCTTTTTCCTATAAATAAAAACTGAAATTTATAACGATATATATGAATCAACAAATTATTTATCTAAAAGTTTGAATTAGAACTTACCATTTCTCGTGCAATTGTTCCAACCGTCTTTGCACCTCCGGTGTGCAACAAGCCACCTTTAAGATTGCCTCTAGCCTTTTTGGCTTGATCTGATATTGTCTTGTGTTCCAATATTGACCCAATTCATCAAAAACATGAGGCAACATTCAAACCGGGACGTTCACCACTATCCCGAACTTTCTTTAGCCAGCTAGACAATCTGACAGATGCCTTCCTCTAAAATGTGGTCCCAATGACCAAATTGTACCTCGACTCCCAAGTACACATAGTCTGAGTTTTTTTTTTAATAATGTTAATTAGATCGATAGTAAAAAAAAGTAAAGTATACTAAACTTAACTAAAGAATATATACCTTAAAGTTATTAAACATCGCCTGACGTATACTGCTTGGAATCTCGCTCCAAGAGTGATAAGCATGTGTGTAGAGTCTTCTAACACAGTCTTTTAAAGCTCGGGCAACATCCTTTGCAGGATGCCACCTGCAAAACACATAATAAATATGTTAGTTCATGAATAATATATTAAAGTATAAGAAATAAATAAAATAGACTAACAAATAGATAACAAAACAAACTTACGATGATCCATTCGGCTCAATCATGACTCTACCAAGTCTGTCCTTCTGGTCAAGAGCTAGAGAAAGCATCGTATCATCTGGTGTAGCACTAGGTGTAACTGTAGACGAGGGTGATACATCAGGATGCACAAAACGCTGAGTCAATGGAGGCGTACCGGCCATAGCATTTGACTGCTCGCTACTAGAATCTCCAAGCTTCATGGTAGATAACTGAGGAGATGTACCTATGGGAGATGGAGTACTTGCCAATAAGGGTCGTGCTCGACGAATAGCCTATAAAGGTAGATCCTCGTAGCGTCGTGAAGGTAATGCCTGTGAAGTAGATGAACCACCGACTGGTCGACGGTAATTAGGATAATATTGTCGAGGATCCGCCGTACTAAATGGAACAATAAATAAATGAGTATCATGGTTGATGCGCTCTGGCGCAGAAGAAATAGATCCTGCAATATCCTCAGGATCTATCGGTCTCCTAGATTTCTTCTTCTTAGCCTGTTTAGTTTGGCTAACTCCAAGATGCTCGCAATGTCTATCACCGTCACCGCTTGATGACATCTGTATGAAAATTTACATGTATAATATATATATAAAAATCATAAATTAAATAAAATTAGCAAAATACACTTACATATATATACTAGCTAGCTTTCATTCTACACTATTCCTCCTCGCTTGTTTCAATTCCATCATTCTCCCATTCTTCCTCCTCAGTTGTTTCATTTTCATTATTGTCCCATTCTTCATCATCAAATGATTCATTTTCCTCACTCTCAGATATTTCTTCCTCAACATTCAGTATCTCATAATCAGCTACTTCTTCTAATGTGTGTTGAGGATGTTGTAGTGTGGTTTCCAATTCAACATCAACTTGTTGTTGAACAATTGCAACATCATTTTGATACGCCACATCTAAGACATTGTCAATTTCAATTCTTCCCACATGCTTAATTTTTATAACAACCCACCAATCAGCTTTGTCTCTACGCAATGGATATGAAGTGTAATACACTTGTTTAGCATTTTGTACAATAATAAAAGGATCATAATTTATGTATTTCCTGGTGTGCTTAACTTCAATTATATTATGTTGATGGTCCACCTTTGTGCCTCTATGTGATGGGTCAACCACTCACACCAAAACAATACAATCTTCTTCGTAGGCCAACCTGAATACCTCACTTCAATAATCTCTTGAATGACACCATAATATTCAATAGTTTGATCAGTACCATCAACCTCACCTTGTATGTAGACACCGCTATTATTTGTTTTCTTGTTCCTAGAAACTTCTTCAGTTTGAAACTTAAAATCATTGACACAATACTTATTCATTGTCAGTACTTGAGATTTAGGTCCAAGTGTTACTTCTTTCACTAATTGCAAATGTTGGACACTTGAGTATTCATCGTAAACCTACGTGATTGTATTTCAAGTAATGTAATTTAGTATAACATGAATATATTATTAAATACTTAGTGATTGCACACTTACATAGTTCCTCAGCCATTTGGAAAATTCTGTATATATGGCTTCATTACCCCATGTGTTTACGAACAAGCTTATCATTTTACATTCTAGTATTTCGTTAGTTAATGATCACTTATTAGTATGTAATTTAATAACATATTTTTAACACGTACTTGACATATGGTTGAATCTCTGGACAATTAAGCAAAATATGTATCACAGCTGATTGCATTTCCATATCAGTGAAGCCTAGCTTTCCACGCTTTTTAGATCCTCGATCATTTTGATTAAAAATTGATATCGGTGGAAATAAAGGATCAATATCGCCTTCATCATTGCAATTGGGCCTATTTCTCCTACATGACACATCATCACCAAAGTAATAAGAAAAAAAATACACTAGTTTCTCTCCCAATATGACCTTGAACAAATGATCCTTCGATCCTTCCCCTTTGCTTAATCGTTTGCTTCGAACTGCCAATTTTTCTACATGTATATATGTATAGTTATGTTAATATATAAAAGACTTGGCGAATATATATAATTTAGTGAATATTTCAAATGGATATCTCTCAAATGGATACAACCATCTTGTTTGAACCGGACCTTCGAGGCGGGCCTCTTGTACAAGGTGAATTGAAAGATGCTCCATCACATCAAAGAAACCACATGGAAATATCTTCTCCAACTTAGTAGTAGTAACAAGAATATTTTCCTCCATCCTGTCTAAACTACTCTCCAACAACTTTCCAGAACACAAATCTTTTAAAAAAAGACTTATCTCTGTGATCGATTTTCATATCCTTTCGGGTAGATGGCTAAAACCGATAGGAATTAAAGTTTCCATAAACAACATGACAATCATGACTTTTCATACCTATCAATTTTCCTTCATTCATATCTGTCCGCTTTCCTAAATTCGAAGCATAGCCCTCCGGCATTCTCAAATTTTTAACCCACTCAATAATTTCACGTTTCTCATCCAATGTGAATGAAAAGCTGGCTTTGGGCTTAACTATTTTACCATTCTGTAATTCCTGCAGCCATAACTCTTTTCTCCTACAATATTCCTTTATGTCCATTCTAGCTTTTGGATTGTCTTTTGTCTTACCCTTAACATCCATCACTGTGTTATGTCGTAGCATATTGTCCTTTCAATACGCCAACTCCCAAAATATGCTTTGTTTGGTCCAATTACGTTCAAGACCATATCCATGAAGTCTAGAAGGTGAAGCTTCTGCAACTTTAGGTAATTGAGAAACTCTCTCCCAAATTTGATGCCCCGTGAGTAATGGAGGTGGGGGGTCACTTTCAACCTTATTTTTCCTAAATGCATTTTTCATCTTTCTAAACTCATGGTCCATTGGCAAGAACTGGCGATGACAATCAAACCATGTATTTTTTCTGTCATGCTTTAAATTGAATGTCTTACTATTTTTCATGCAATACGGACATGCTAGCTTTCCAGCTATCATCCAACCAGAAAACATCCCGTATCCAGGAAAATCATTAATAGTCCACATTAAAGAAGCACGCATAACAAAATTCTGCTTAGTTGATATATCATAAGTCAAAACGCCTTCAAACCTCAATTGTTTGAGCTCATCTATCAATGGTTATAGATAGACATCAATCAAGCTTTTTGGATTACGGGAACCTGGAATAACACAACTTAGAAAGATGTAGGGACTGGTCATACACATTTCAAGAGGAAGATTATACGGAGTAAGAAATACCGGCCAGCATGAATAAGGCGAAGCATTATTAGAGAATGGTGTGAAGCCATCTAAACACAACCCCAATCTAACATTTCTTGGTTCACTAGCAAAATCAGGATATACATTATCAAAATGCTTCCATACTTCACCATCAGATGGATGAGACAAGACACTCGGCGGCCTTCTATATTCACGATGCCATCTCATATGTGGGGCAGACCTCATCGATGCATACAACCTCTTTAACCTAGGAATGAGAGGTAGATAATGCATCGCTTGAACTGGGACCATCTTTCCAGCCAGAGTCTTCTTATAACGAGCATGTCCACAAAACTTATAATTTTCTAATTCACTATCAGTCTTGTAAAACAACATGTAGCCATTAACACAACAATGAATTCTATCATACGTCAATCCTAACTTGGACACCAACGTTTTGCTTGATAGAAGTTCTTTGGTATGTTAAACTCCGGATTAACTAGTTCACCCAAAAGATCAACCATTGAGTCCATAGCCGCATTAGGAACATTCCAATCTGATTTAATATTCATTAATCTAACCTCAACTGACAAGGTAGAATGCAGACTCCCTTCACATAGTGGATGACTAGGCTCTTCTAATTGATCATAGAAGCGTCTTGCTTCTTCATTAGGAGCTTCATCAAAATATTCGTTCCGGTTCCATCCCACCTTGAACCCCGAAAGCATCATTGATCATTTCATGAACCCTATCATGTTCAACCCTAACTTGTTTCAACCCTAATTTGTCCATGTGGTGCAACCATATTATTTACATCCACAGGCATCGAATTATAAAACATACCATACAATCCATCACTTTCTCCATGATCAATCCATACAAAATATCTAGGCTTAAATCCATTACGGTACAAATGAAACATAATTGTATTTGGTTTAAAAAAATTTAAGCACTTACATGCACTACAAGGACACCTAACCAATCCATTATTCTTAAAAATGTCAAGTGTCATATGTTCGATAAAATTTCTAACACCGTCAATAAACTCAGGTTTCAAACCAGCACCAGTTTCATAATGCATATTATACATCCACAAACGATGATCCATCTACAAAAATATAGATATTCAATTATATTATAAATAAAATTTAATAATAATTTTACTAGTAGTAGTCCTAAAACTAGTTTAGTATTGACTTAAGCACATTATTTATTTTAACTTATTTAAAAACATAACAACTTTAACTAGTTTAGTTTTGACTTAATTCCAACAACTAAATCCACCAACTAAACCACATTAATTAATTTAACCTATTTAAACAACTTTAACTCTTGAACTAGTTTAATTTTGACTTAAAACAACACTAAATCCACCAACTAAACCACATTAATTAATTTAACTTATTTAAACAACTTAACAACTTTATAACTTTAACTAGTTTAGTATTGACTTAATTCCAACAACTAAATCCACCAACTAAACCACATTAATTAATTTAACTTATTTAAACAACTTAACAACTTTATAACTTTAACTAGTTTAGTATTGACTTAATTCCAACAACTAAATCCACCAACTAAACCACATTAATTAATTTAACTTATTTAAACAACTTTAACTCTTGAACTAGTTTAGTTTTGACTTAATACAACACTAAATCCACCAACTAAACCACATTAATTAATTTAACTTATTTAAACAACTTAACAACTTTAACTAGTTTAGTTTTGACTTAATACAACACTAAATCCACCAACTAAACCACATTAATTAATTTAACTTATTTAAACAACTTAACAACTTTAACTAGTTTAGTTTTGACTTAATACAACACTAAATCCACCAACTAAACCACATTAATTAATTTAACTTATTTAAACAACTTAACAACTTTAACTAGTTTAGTTTTGACTTAATACAACACTAAATCCACCAACTAAACCACATTAATTAATTTAACTTATTTAAACAACTTAACAACTTTAACTAGTTTAGTTTTGACTTAATACAACACTAAATCCACCAACTAAACCACATTAATTAATTTAACTTATTTAAACAACTTAACAACTTTAACTAGTTTAGTTTTGACTTAATACAACACTAAATCCACCAACTAAACCACATTAATTAATTTAACTTATTTAAACAACTTAACAACTTTAACTAGTTTAGTTTTGACTTAATACAACACTAAATCCACCAACTAAACCACATTAATTAATTTAACTTATTTAAACAACTTAACAACTTTAACTAGTTTAGTTTTGACTTAATACAACACTAAATCCACCAACTAAACCACATTAATTAATTTAACTTATTTAAACAACTTAACAACTTTAACTAGTTTAGCTTTCACTTAATACAACACTAAATCCACCAACTAAACCACATTAATTAATTTAACTTATTTAAACAACTTAACAACTTTAACTAGTTTAGTTTTGACTTAATACAACACTAAATCCACCAACTAAACCACATTAATTAATTTAACTTATTTAAACAACTTAACAACTTTAACTAGCTATTATTCAAACTATTAGTCCTAAATTCCTAATTCAAACTAGTCTTAAAATCACAAATTGAAAGTACTCCTAGAATTCAAAAATCAAACTATAGTGCTAAAATCCCAAATTCAAACTATTAGTAGTCCTAAAATCTCAATAATAATTCAAACTAGTCCTAAATTCAAAATTCAAACTAGTCTTAAAATCACAAATTCAAACTAGTCCTAAAATTCCAAAATCTAACTAGTGCTAAAATCCTAAATTCAAACTAGCTAGCTATTCCTAATCCCAAATTCAAACTATCAGTCCTAAAATCTCAATAATAATTCAAACTAACTCAAATAATACCCAAATTCAAATAACTCCTTAAATACCCTAATTCAATCTAATCTTACAATTCCAAAATCAAATTAATTAACTCAAGAAATACCGAATTTCAAACAAATCCTAAGATACCCTAATTCAAACTAAAGCCTAACATTAAAATTTTCAATTCACAATCAACAAACACAAACTAACAATCAAATCATCCCTAATTCAAACTAACAATCAAAAACCCTAAATCATTCACTTACTAACTAACAATCAATAAAAAACTAAATTCAATACACTAATTAACAAATTCAATACTCAAATTGAAAGAAATTAAAAATAATATTATGAAACCCTAACCTTGAATTAAAGGAGAAGGGCAGTGGGTTGAGGTCGGGGTCAGTTTCCTAGCACGAATAGAAACAAATGTTAATCGGTGTGTGTGTGTGTGTGTATGTTCGGCTAATAGTAAGACTAATAAGAGTGCAAGAAAATTCTGGACAAACATAGGAACCTTAGATGGTGAAATATAAATTGAACTAAGTATATTAGTACTCTAATTTTGAGATACTTCAACTAAATAGAAACAAAAATAATCTTATATGGAGGTTCTAAAAATTCACCTTGAGTAAGAAGGTCGGGGATAGTGGCGCGAACTGAGAAAGCTGATATGGACGCGGTGCCAGTTGGGTTGGAGGCGGCGCGACCTCCTGCTGCTGGTGCGAACTACCTCTACTGCTGCGTGTAACCTGCCTCTGTTGTT